AAAACACTCGGCACTCCAATACACGGCAGTCTCCAGTACATGTTTATGAGCCACAAGGTCCGGACGGCTGCTCTCACCCCAAAAAAAAAAAAATTAATAAATATAATTGTAATTTCTTTCTGTTTAATATGCCAAGGGGTCCGGAGGGTAGAACTTCACAGTTAGGAAGTTAGGTAAAGTTAGGTAGGTTTCTTTGGTTAAGTTGTTGAGGTCTCTAATAATGCTTCTGTCACTTGTTTTTCTTACTTTTATCCTCTTCGCCACTGATCGGCTTGTTAGCCGCTTGGGCGATCGGTCACGTCTCTTTTCATTTATCTTCTTCACCAAAAGATCGGCTCGCTAGCCGCCCGGACGATCGGTCACGTCTCTGTCACGCACTGTTGGCAAATACTGGGCATGCACCGGCTCCTGAATGTACCTGAACCCGCTCCAGTGTTGGTCAAGTCTTGTCTTGAAAGAGCTCACACTCGGTGCCGTCACAACACTCTCTGGTAGATTGTTCCAAGAGTTTACAACCCTCACTCCGAAAAAGTTTGCCCTCATGGTTTTCTGGACTTGCGGCTTCTTCAATCTTGAGCTGTAACCCCTTGTGGGGCGAGCGTCCGCCAGCTCCAAGTAAGGACACTCAACTGAGTAGTGCCCCCTGAGATGCTTATACACCTCAACTAGGTCCCCCCTTGCCCGTCTGTAGTATAAGCTAGGCAAGTTCAGGCGCTCCAATCTCTCAGGGTAGCTGAGGTGCCGAAGTGCAGGCACCAGTCTGGTGGCCCTCCTTTGAACTATCAACAAGGTTAGGTAAGATTTAAATTAGAAATAAAGTATCCACTTTTTAACACATTTGCCAAAACTACGACAGTGTCCAATATAAAACACAGTGAAATTGCAGCGTTATTAAATTCGTTTTCCATGAAAAATCGGCAGCGGGTCAGTCGCCAGTAATTATCCCTGTTATTTACAGTCCTAAGAAAAATTAGAACTAAATCAATATTCCTTGTTAATAAATATTGATACTGTATTTATTCTGAGTAATGAATTATGTAAATAAGGTAAAGGACTAGCGGACAGCTAACAAAAGAATGAGTTGTTCGTTTTCGTTCATATTTTCCACAGATGTTCTTGGATGATAGTAAGTAAAAAAATAATACGGCAATGCGCAGAACCTAATAGAAGCTGACCTAACCAACCAAACCAAAGAAACCTACCTAACCTTACCTAAATTCCTACCGTCCCCCGGACCTCCCGGCATATTAAAAACAAGAACTAACTTTGATATTTGGTACCAATGAAAGCAACTTTCTTGATACGGCCTGGTGTAATTTTACGTTTTTTATTTTTATTTTTTTTTTTATGGACGTGAGAGAACACTCGGACTGAGTGGCTCAGTTGTTGTACTGAAACAAACAAAGAGTGGACGACAACACGCGCCGACACTGCAGATATTTCGGCGGAATATATACATTAGAGTAAATAATTAATTTCTTTGCGTATAAAGGACATAGCGACATCATTTTAGTGTTATATAATCCAGTTTTCGCCGTGTTTTACCTAGAAATTTCCCTCATCCTTCATACCCTGCCCACCACAGGCGATTTATGGTCGTAGATACAGGGGAAAAAAATACCTTGAAATTAAAATAAAAAGTTGTCGTATCGTTCTTATTACTTGCTATCATCCAGATGTGTGTAAAAATGAACGTAATCGAACAACTCCTACTGATGTTAGCTGTCTGCTCTGCTATTACCTTAAATAATTGGCCTGTCGACTAGGATATATAACCCTTTAGCCCCCCCCCCCCCTTGTAAAAATACCACACTACATCACTAACCGCGGGGAACCCAAGGTTACCCAATCAATCCACCTAAAGGGAGCCCTGTGAAGTCTATACAAGTAAATTGATTCTCACATCCTCTATGATGCTTAACAACGAGCAGATAGTTCCTTGACTTCATTGCTCGGCTAGCTCAGTCGGTAGAGCACGAGACTCTTAATCTCGGGGTCGTGGGTTCGAGCCCCACGTTGGGCGTCCATTTTGTTTTAAGCGTGTTAATAGTGCAGTGGTAACAACACCCATATCTTTCACCAATATGTGAAGGGCACGAGTGCTGCTTGGACAGGACATACATGAAAAGGGAGTTACCCAGTTTGACTATACTAAACATCACAGGTTTCCCAGGCTCCAGTTTCCTCCTGTACTAACACTGGATAGACCAACCGCCCGAACGGCTAGTAAACTGATAACTGGGGAAATGATACATATAAATAAGAACAGTTGTGGCGAGATTTGTTACTGTTTGAGTCCTACCGGTAACTGTATCACAAATTACCGTTTTTTATCAATAATAATAGACAGAAAACTTTTAAGTACGGTAACTACATAAAATCTCTTCACTTCTTCTAGCATTGAATAGTAATACTCACATCAATCAGCAGCCCTCAATCCTGGTATTTCTCTTGTTATTTATTCAACTCGTGATACTCTTTGTATACGATTCTGGTTAAAGATATTAAAATACAGTATCATATTTTCTCATTTATCCCAGTGAATTTTCTCAAGCAATAAACTTAACTCTCTTGGCCACTGGTCGGTTGTCCCACCATTTGGTTGTTGTGCTACGCACAGTTGGCAAGTACTGGGCATGCACTGGCTTCAGAATATACAGCACCTGAATATAGGCCATATTTTGGTTAATTCTAGTCTTAAAGCTCGGCAACTGTTTAAGGCTGTTTATCATTATCAGAGTAAGTAAAGGTTCATGACATTAACATATTGAGAACTCCAAAGAAGTCATGCAGCAGGAATAAAATTAGATAATAAGAGTTAAGATTCATGACATAAAAGAGGACATTAACATACAGAGAACTCACAAGGCCAGAGAAGACATGCAGTGTAACTGTATCAAGAGAAACAAAATAAGATAATAAACTGATTCTTTTATTTTTCAGAATGTTAGTTGCCATGCAGCGCAGACTATTGAGGATTTGTTGAAATCTTAAAGTTCATCATGTTATCTATGTATGTAAATTCACCCTTTGCACTCGTGAGAACATTCAAATTATTGCAAATATTGTTAAATGCACTTATGAAGTTAACATCGTGTAAATGAATTTAATGGTTGTACCTCTGAAGAGTTCGTTCAGAGAGCTACGGAACCTCTTTTGTTAGTGCGAAAGAATATGGAATGAACAGAGACAATTATCTGGGGGTAGTAGATGCTGTCAGGTGAAGGATACAGGTAGGTGAAGGATATAGGCAGGTGAAGGATACAGGTAGATGAAGAATACAGGCAGGTGAAGAATACAGGCAGGTGAAGAATGGAGGTAGACGAAGGATACAGGCAGGTGAAGGATACAGGTAGGTGAAGGATATAGGCAGGTGAAGGATACAGGTAGATGAAGAATACAGGCAGGTGAAGAATACAGGCAGGTGAAGAATGCAGGTAGGCGAAGGATACAGGCAGGTGAAGGATACAGGTAGGTGAAGGATACAGGTAGGTGAAGGATACAGGTAGATGAAGAATACAGGCAGGTGAAGAATACAGGTAGACGAAGGATACAGGCAGGTGAAGGATACAGGTAGGTGAAGGATACATGTAGGTGAAGGATACAGGTAGGTGAAGGATACAGGTAGGTGAAGGATACAGGTAGGTGAAGGATACAGGTAGACAAAGGATACAGGTAGGTGAAGGATACAGGCAGGTGAAGTAGTAGTACATGTAGCTGTTATTAGATAAAGGAAGAAAGAAAATCTCAAGAGATTATCAAATCTTACCATTTGACTCAAGTAATCGAATATAATACTGTTGGTCTTATGAAGGCATGGAAAAATATATTGGATACGTATACTTTAAATGGTTAGTACCTTCTGTGGTTACTGATGGGGTGGTGACGGTATAAGGAGCAAACTTACCCAAGAACAGGTAGAGTCTTAACATCTTCAGCAGTCGTCCAGTATTCAGTATGTAAGCATTATATTTTTTAACCTAATTTCTACTTTAGCTTTTAATAAAGTGAAATTTATTTGCAATTTAATGAATTTGGGAGTTGTTGTATTAATGTGTTCAGATGCTTCAAATGTTGAGTGAAGTCTCCATGTACCGTTCGTATCTTTGTCTCTACACTGGACAACAAGAAGGTAGAAATTATGAAAGTTCCTCTTTCTTGTTGGACGGGGCAATTGCTTTATGTCTAACGTAACTGATTATTATTATTATTATTACAGGAAATTTTGTACAATGTTATATTGTTTTTAGGAAAAATTTTACCGGAAAAATTAATGCTTAACTAATTTACCTTTGTGAGTGTAATGTTCATATAATTAATTATTCATGCAATAGCACTAATGAGCACTGAACTCTAAATGTTATGGTATATGAACAGAAATTTAACTGAAAATTGATAGCAACAAAACAAAGCATATTTTAAAAGGATTTGGAATAATGTAAGCAAAAAATAGTGAAACTCAATGAAAAGCAAGTCAATGGGTGCCGTGGTGCCATTATACTGTAGAACACACTAGACATTTTCCTCTTGAGCCCACAGCAGATGGGAAAGAAACTTATCTTAGATTTGGTTAACAGTTATGGAAAATACCCACTCGCCACCTCTATCTCTTACGATGTATATTTAAGAAAAAATACTGCTCAGGTGTTTAGTATTGTCGTCTCTATAAGACTGTTGCCACACCACACAACTTTTGTTGACATTATGTGGCATTAATCTTTCTCTTTTCTCATAAGTCCCCGACTTAACACCAGCTCACACAGCCTCCCAACAAGAAATTGAATGAGAATTTTATATTATCCAGATTTCGGTCAGAAACGAATGTCGTTTCATTCTCTCTCTCCCACTCTACTTTCTTACCTAGATATTTCTTCTTCTGTAATTATCTTATTTGACACGTCCTCCTCTACCCCAAGTTTCCCCTCCTCTGAGGCAAATGTCTTATTAGTCTCTGCTTACATGTTCCCTTCTCCCTCATCTGTGTCCCCTGACAGGCTCACCTTGAGAATACGTGAGGTTGCACGGGAGGGAGGAGGCTGGGGTGACGGTAATGTCGACAGCGCCAGAGGAGGGGTCCCGGCCTAGCATTCCCAGGTCCACCGAATGTTGTTGTATGATGCCAGGCGTCCCTAGGCTTGGGTGGCTGGTATTAGTGAGTCCTACAGCGGCTGCCATAACACAACCACATAATATTAGAACCAACTGCAAACATTTCAAATAAGGAATGTTATATTGTGATTAATCCACAGCATTCCATGACAGGAAAATTTAATCATGACTAAAAATATTATAACATGCTAGGAAGTATAATCAGGATTAATCTTTAAAAAATACATACCAAAATGATGTTAATTATCATAAATTTAAAACGAAAATAAAGAAATGGATATGTAAAATTATAATCCTAAATAAATCAAAATAAGTAACAGATTTTATACCTCCACTAGACTTATAATTAGTATAATAGTAACTTTCTGTCGCACTTGATAGCTAACTTAAGTCGTACATTTACCGTATATGCAAGTTTACTACCAAGTTCATATTTACTGCACATGGAATTACTTACAGCTGAATCCATGACATTTCAAGTCGCGTAACATTATTTTGTGAATGTTTAAATTGTAATGGGCAGTATAGAGGTTAGACTTGATGCCCCAGGGGGAATACTAATGTGGCAGTGGAAGCAGTAACGAGTTGTCAGACAGGCAAATATCACCTGGGAAATCTTTTATTATATTGGTTTCTCTTGACAGTTATTCTTCAGTGGTATGACTTTTTCCTCTTCTTCTTTTTCCTTTTACTTCTTGTTCTTATATTTACCCCCCCCCCCACACACACACATACCGTTTACTCCTTGTGTTCACTGCAAACTAATGTTAGCAATGTTACTTTTAACTAAGATCTTGTCCTTTGGCACACGGGCCTGGCTCTTGTGCATGACTTATCGTTTGGTGATGATAATTGTGATTATAAAGATTCATCCAATTATCTGGAGTGGTTCAACAGCCATCCAACCATTATTTCTGACTGATGTACAAACAAGGTTTATGTTCATGTCACATCAGTAAAAGGTTAAAACGTTGCCACGAACAGATAGACAGTCAAGTACAATGCATTATGCTCCTGCCAAATATATAGAAGGGGCATAATATGGAATTTAATAAGAGAGGGGGACACGTCGTCTAGGTTATGCGAGGCAGAAAGAGGGACGCTTAAAGAGGTGCAAGAGGCGGACAGTGCCCATGCTGGCACATACTGTACACGCAGGACCAGAGGTACAGTTCACTAATAATCTCACTTACTGTGTCTTAACATTTTCGTTTAAATACCTAGAGATGTTGTTAGTGTTGCCACTAACAAGCACACACAGCAAGCTGCTTCTTTATGTTAGTCGAACAATATCTATTTTGCCAAGATGGCCATCTAAAATAAAGCCTGATATAAAATGCTACTGACTAAGCGTAATTACCTTCCTAGACTAGCATCATACACTATTCTAAAGAGCAGAAGCAGTAAAGGTTTATGTAAGAAAGAGTACCTGGAATATGGGCGCAGGCGGGACAGGGCGCTGCCACTGTGGCCAGCACGACTGGGTTGGCTGACACCCCACCAACAGCTCCCTCCGACTCCCGCCCATTACCCGATCTTGACGACATGCGCCCACTCTGCTTCAGGAGTCGCAGGATGTCCTTCTTGATGGAGTCCATCTGACCGTATGCCCGCGCCGTCTCCCGTTTTCTGTCTTCCCGCAGCTCGTACCTGAAACAAACACAAGTATTATACAAGGTGGAGCAACAGTCACTAACCTAATCTAACCTTATTTAACCTACTTTAGCTATAATTTTGCTATTTTATGATAGTAAACGACGTCTTACATAAAAAAATATTTTTTTAACTATAAATTAATTTTCAATGACTTACAACAATAAAAACAAAGGGTTTCCCTAAATAAATAAATAAATAAATAAATATATATATATATATATATATATATATATATATATATATATATATATATATATATATATATATATATATATATATATATATGTGTGTGTCTGTGTGTGTGTGTGTGTGTGCCCCGTTTGTGAAATGGGTTCCGAACCTAACCTTTGGTGATTGAAATGATAAGAAAAAATAAATAAAAAATAAAAATATGCCAGCCAGGGTGCCATTCAAAAGTGCTGCAATCTTTCTAGCCTTAAATTATTGGATTTGATTTTAATTCATTGGGTAAAAAAATCAGAGCCCAAGCCAGAGTTTGGACCCAGAACCTTAAACTCAAGTTCTCCTCTTACTCAACCTAGATTTCTGAGGGGTGGAAAGAGACACACCTGAGACTGGAGATGTCTTGCTTTATCTCGAGCAGATCATCCTCATTGACGCCATCCTGACGGTGCTGCTTCTTGGTCTGGTGGATGTAGCGGGAGACGAGACGACGCATAACTTCTGCGTATCTGCTCGACTGGCTCATCCGACACGGGAGACCACCCTACACGACCCACACACGGCACCAAAGACATTGAGAGGGAGGGGAATATGCAATTAGTAAGAGTAATGTTGTAATGTTTGGATGATGATTAGGCAGAGAAAGATTGAGAAATAACATCAATAGAACAAGAATTATATCAAATCGAAAAGAAATATGATTAAAATGAAGGAAGTCAAGACTAAATATACCAAATACGTCCAACTTGAAATAAAATTATCATCGGGTTGTCTGCTTTGTAATAATGAAAGCCTTAAATTCCAGCTATATATTTAAATAACCTTAACTACAGCTATAGAAAACAAGAGTATCGCAATAATTGAAAAATTATAGTTAAAAAAAATCACGAAGCAAATTGAAACTTGTGATTGTTCTTGTAGTTCTGGAGTTTTTTGGCGAAATGTTAAAATCAAAGTAAAATATATCTGGACAACTATAATGAAAAACAAGCTATAGCAAGGGTCTTATATATTCATGCTGTTCAAGAACCAGTGTGAACAAAACCCAATGTGAACAAAAACCAGTTTGACCAAGAACTATTATGAACAAGAACCAGTATGAACAAGAACCAGTATGAACAAGAACCAGTATGAACAAGAACCAGTATGAACAAGAACCAGTATGAACAAGAACCAGCACGAATCAACTTAAAAACATTATTGAAACAAAACCCGTCTGACAAACCTGTAATGCACCTTTCTCCATGGCAAAACTCCTCCTCTTGTCGGAGCGTTTGCGGCTCCTCCTATAGCAGATATACTGGAGGCAGTTCTTAACAGTCCTCATGAAATAGAAGATAGCCTTGGGGCTGATGATGAGGTTGAATGGCGCGGGCAGGGTAGAGCCGGGGTCGAAATAGCTCATCCACAGCTTGGAGCGTGCGAACTTCCACTCTTGATCGGCATGGTCCTGCATGGTGTGTGTGTGTGTTACAGTGTGGTTGGTGGTCACCGTGTGTTAGTTGTGGCGGAGATAAAACACAAACTTGGATAGCTAAAGGGAACTCATATTTCTTATAGTCTGGGTTTTACGCCATGTATCATAATTGCGGTATGTTTCTCTCGTGTCTTTGAGAAACTGATCACGAGAAAGGTGGGATGAAGTCCTCACTGACTGATGGGTATATCAATAAGTCAAATAAAAGGATATGTATATCATGGTGAAAACATAAATATCTAAATCTTATATGTATTTATTTAAGGCGATTCAGAGTGCTATAATGAGTCAAAGATACAATGATTAACGTAAAACCACAGTGGTATGTCAAACCCCGGTACTGTGAGTCAGCTGACAGGAAGATGGCACCTCGTGTGAACTGTGTACTTTTTCCTTCAACAGAGACAAGTGTTTGTCCTTTTATGTTATCAGTTATTAATTTAATGAATCACAAGAACCTAGATGTTGATTTCATTTACAAACACTCAAATGGGAAAATAATTGTACAACGGTAGTAGTTCGAATGGTTAGGAACTGATCATGAGCAAAAATGTTGAGGTATAGAACAGATGTGAAGATTTATAAGAGAGTAGGACGCTATTCATGCTGTTCATGTTATATCATAATTAGTCTGCAAATACAAATAAGAGGATGAATTCACATCATGAAAATTTTAATTTCACAGAACTAGGAATAAATCGGAAAACAGAAAGACGACCAGCCATACTCCTCGAGGCTGTCTCCCCTGTTGCAGTTGGCCACTTTAGCTCTCAAAACGACATGAAGGATACACTCGAGCCAGACTGAACTCTTAGCACAGTGACCACCACTTGTACTGGTGGGTCGCAAGTCTCCAGCTCTGTTTAGGGTTTAGCCCTTCTTGGTGACAATTTCTTGCTGAAATTTCATATTTAAGAAATAATAAAAGGCTATACCAGTTTTATTTTAGAACATCAACGAAAAAATCCTCATTCGGTGAGAGCAATTGTACTGAACCTCAAACTATTATGAAATAGTTCTTAGCGGCGAACATGATTAACTCACACATAGTTTTCATTTTGTTACACAAATCCAGTTATTGGCAAACATGACTCAGAATATATTGAGATGAGTGATGTTGACCTTTATACAAAGTTACATGTAAGGTGTTACATTACTATTATACAAAACACAATTTATTGTCAGGAGGCATAACTAGTCAGTAATCAACACAGAACACTAGAGGCTGACTTGAACCTGTAGAGGACGCTTTAAGGGCCAGTTGTAACATTTACAACTTATAATAAAATTATATATATATATTGCAGTACAGAATTATAATGACTTCCACACCGAGCAGAGTTACATTATAGTTGATATAGAGTTGATAATTAGTAGCGGTCTGCCATCTTCCTACCAGATACCAGAGTGTTGACAGTTGAGGAATTTGGGTGGCGGTGAGGATCAAAGTCATGGTTATGGTTAGTAAAAAAAAAAAAAAAAAACACAGACATTAACCAGAAACATTTTATGTTAACTGACTTGAACTCTTCTGAAATGGGAGAAAGAATCAAGTTTTTGTTAGGGATGAGTAAAAAAAAAATAATAATAATACAGTATATATATATATATATATATATATATATATATATATATATATATATATATATATATATATATATATATATATATATATATATATATATATATATATATATATAAGGCGGGGGAAATAATTGTTTGAGGTAAATAGAACTTAATCATGCCAATACAAAAAAAAAACAATACAAGAGAGCAATGCATACTCTACTAAACCTACAGACACGCATTCAAGAAACAGGATAAGAGAGAGAGGGAGAGAATAAGGGAAAAGACAGAAAAAGAGAAAGGAAGAAAAAAGAAAGAGAGAGAGAAAGAGAGAAAAGGGGAGAGAGAGAGAGAGAGAGAGAGAGAGAGATTCACAACAGCTAGTAGGGTGGACAAGGATGGTGAGACTGTAGGCTACAGGACGGCGCTGTGAGCTGTCACGTCGCTCACACTGCGAGTACTGAAACCACTGACGAACTGACCCGGCGTGACAACCTCGAAGGTCGTTACTCTCTTCGCAACTTCCTTACCGCCAGTCGAGCAAACATCAAGAAATAAAGAAGTGTGACATGGCATTTTTATTTCATGTCTATACACTCCCCGAGGTTTGGAAAAATGGTATTTATTGTTTATAGTCTACGTTCGTTAGTACAAATACAGAACCAATTTATCTTTCCGCTTTTTGGTCGTTTAAACGAGGAAAAAAAAGACAAAACAAAACTTCTTTAGCTTTACTAATGACTGCTACGAAGGACTAACCTATAATGAAAAAAGAAAACTGTAGTAAATATATGAACGAAAGCTTGTATGGATATAGTGGATAGTGTTAATCTTAAATACAAAAAAATGTGTTGAATTACGGACACCATAAATCGACTTTATACGACATATTTTTATGAAAGTGAAACAGTGCATTATAACTTAGTAAACAAAATAAAACAAATGATAATATGATCTTCAAAACCCCTTTACTTAATAACAGCCAGATAGGAGCGATCCGTGAATATATCCGGCCAAGCTTATGAGGTTTGGCCAGTTGACCCCCGAGCCATTTTGTGACTAGTGATAACGTATAACTCACTCACTGCCGGAGTAAAGATCAAATTATCCTCTAAAACTTCGGAGTAACACATCATAACGCTGCGCACCTCATTATTTCTACACAACAGATCACACTTCATTTGTCGTAAACCAGGGTCACTGTAACTCATGAATCAGATAACCAGATATTAAAACGGCCAGGTACTATGCTTCACACCCTGATGGGGAGTTTACTTTCATCCTAAGAAGGAGAGTGGGGCACCTTAAAAATTACCCGCATACCTGAATGGAATCAGGGAATTGTCTTGCTCAGATACATATTTTGTTATTTAGGAACCCAAGAAAATCCCCAGCCAAGTGAGTCTGTAGAGCGAGTCGTGGACCATATCAGCCAAGAGACTAAGGCGCCTCACATTCATGGGGAACACTAAGCCTAAAGAAATTCCCTTTACCTATGAGCTACCAGAGTACCTAAAATATCTATACAATAAACTTAAGATATTTACACTATAACATGAGACCAAGTACAGTACCTCACTCTGTGCCTCAACATCGAAGAGGGAAACTGAACTTGCCGGAGGGGACACCAAATTTGTTAAGCTATCAGGTTTCCATGAGTGTCTGCACAAATACGTTCTTTTGGAGGAAGTATTCATGGGACTTGGAGAAGAGAACCACCTTGTACAAACACTTAACTTCCACCAGCAAGGATTAAGCCTCAATCAGGAGCGAGTAAAACAGAAATACTGTCAACGAGATGCCCTGTGTTCAATATTAATGAGGTTTTAACTTCCTACTGAACGGGCTCATACAGTTCCACGGTCTTGCCTTTAAAAAAATATATATATTCCGCAGATAGAGGAACCGTTGGAAAAATTTAACTAACTCAATCTCGGGAACTACAGCACTCTGACTTCATGAGTCTTTCGTCTAGGAATTGCTAACTCATAGTTCCCTATGGATGATTCTACATCTGGAAGACCAACTGACCTCGGTCTAGTGTCCCACTGGTGCCTTGGTCACTAACTAGGAGAAATGTTGATTTTTCCCAATTGTCTAAGAAGCCTTCTGTCGTCAGAATCACTGTCAAATTTGGGAAACTAAAACCAACTTAAAAGATAAAAACTTGTATTAAAATATTGGTTATGGTATCCTCTCAGTTGTATGACTGATTTTCAAAGTTTACATAAACTTAGAGATGGACCCAGACTAAGCCGATCGTGCAAATAGACGAGACAGACACATCTTTCCAATATATACAAATCAGGAAATTACCAAAATGGCTCTTGAGAGGAACACTCCAGTAGTAGGGTGTGTCATAGGAGGGAAGATCAGCTAAAACTAATGGCCCATCACTTTTTTGGTAGATTTTAGTGTATATAAACAGAAAATAATTTCAGTTTCAATATTTTGCAACCTTTTGCTAGGTAAATTTTAGCGTGAAATTTATCGAAAATCTAACGTACAGCTGCATTAGTGCATTACAATTAAATAGTGAACATTGCTTTCTGACTTCATTCTTTAACAACCCAACGAACAATATTTTTTTCTGTTTCAGATTCTGATGCATTTATAAGTTGATAATATTTGCGATGGCTGCTTGTGTCAGGACGAGGAACCAAAAATCCAGCCATCTCAGTCACTATCTTGGGTCTGGGAGAGAGCTCCTGAAGTCGGAGTTGCCTACATTGAGAGATGCTTTGAGATACGGTGTTTTAATCAGGCAAATCAGTGAAAAGAACCAAAGAACTTACACAAACAAAGACATTGCCAGTGATATGACCAAAGCTGTCTTGGCACAGTACACTCTGGCTAACGCTCAGTTCAAGCCTCCAGTCATAACAAGTCAGAAGAAGATTAGTGAGAGACTGCTAGCCAGTTGGGAAAAAACCAAGATATCTCTCTCTTGGGAGAGGAAAACTTGCAGTTAAGGACAGCTTTGCCAAGCAACTGGACCAGTTATTTGACATAATTACTTGCAAGTGCCCAATTGTTCTCTGTCCTGGGATTTGGATGCGATCATTGACTGTAAATCCGAGGCCCACATCTCCTGTATTTGCAAGCGTGAACTGAAGATTCCTGTGATCGAACTGGCATTTGTCAAAGCACAGAGAGAGAAGACTGACAGTATAGGGGCTCTCATGATTTCTAGCCAAGATATTCTGGAGTCCAAGAGACAGGAGGCTGCCACAGAGAGACAGAAGAAGAGAAGAGTTGCCGAGGAAAAGAGACTTGAGAAGGCCCAGGGGGAGGTAAAAAAGGCCGATGATTGGAGTCAAGCTGATTCAGAGTTTAATGACTTCCCCATGGCTGATCCGAGTGCTGACCAGGAGATGGTGACTTTGTCCCTAACCAGAAAGGAAATAAACAATCCCAAACCTTGGGCATAAGATTCAGAAATAGGAAAGATATCCGAGCATAGCTCTGGCCAGCATGCGACACACCACACTGAATCTCAGAGAAACTGCAGAGATAGCAACAGCTGCCTGGATTGACAGTGGTTTGATACTGATGTTCACCTGGTGATAGATCTTAACAAAGTAAGGAGGAAGCTCAGGAGAAACTTGTCCAGTAACCTAGAAGAGGAGTTTGATAAAGGGGATAGAAAATGGAATCAATTGTTTGTTCTTTGATGGGAGAAGGATAGCGCAAAGTGTTGTGAAAGTTGGAGATTCTGACAAGTTGTTCCCTGCCATGGTGAAGGAGGAACACTACTCCTGCTGCAGTGAACCAGGAGGGAAGTATTTGTGGCATTTCACTCCAGAAAAAGATGACATCAGGAAACCAGCTGAGAGAGTGGCAGATAACATTGTGAACTGGCTCAAAGAGAGGAACGTAGACCAGACCCTGCAGGCCATTGGAGGGGACAGCACCAACACGAACACAGGGTGGCAAGGGGGGGTCATACAGTGGATAGAGCGGAAGATTGGGAGGAACCTGGTCTGGATTGTTTGTGACCTCCACACCAACGAGTTGCCACTCAGACATCTGATCCAGGAGCTGGATGGCAAGACTCTTTCAAACAACAGATAGTCTGGTCCTCTTGGCAAGATGCTGGACTCTGCCACTGAGTTAGAAATAAATCCGAGCTTTGAAAAAATCACAGTTGGCCCTCCACTCGTTGAGCTTGCACATACTGTCATTGACGACCTGAGTACTGACCAGTACTATGGTTACATGATTTGCAGTGCCATCAAAACTGGGGTCATGCCTGATAGACTTGCTTACCTGCAGATAGGTCCAGTCTCACATTCTAGGTGGCTCACAACGGCTCCTAGGTTCTGCAGAATTTGAGTCGCTCATCGTAAACTGAAAGGGAACCAGCTTCACAACCTGAGACTTATTGTCCAACTCATCGTGAGTGTCTACTTGCCAAATTGGTTCAACACCAAGGTCAAGTCATCGTTCTCCGAAGGTTCGAGGCATGTTCTCTTCCAGCTTGAGCTCCAGAGGAGTCAGCCAAGGAAGGTTGTTCAGATTGTGGAGCAGACTGTGAGGAGATCTTCCTGGTATGCTCATCCCGAGGCAGTTCTGCAGACAATGCTCTGCAGTAAGGATGAGGAGGAGAGAAGAGTGGCAGTCAAGGTCTGGATATAAGGACTTATGAGAGGATCTGGGCATGACAGATCAGTTGGTGACGATTCCTTCAGGAGTCAGAAGACTCCTGAAGTCAATCTAGAGTGCCAAGACCCTCACTGATCTCATAGATCTGGATAACATCGGCTTCCTTGATGAACCCCCCTCTTACCTGGCCTCACCAATGTTCAAGTCAGAGCTTTCCTGGACAAACCCATGCATGTCCCTGCCTGGCCCTCGCACACCCAGAGTATAAAGCGTTGTGTACAGCAAGTGAGCGAGGCCAGCAGTCACGTGTACAGCCAGGAGAGGAGGGAATGCTACATCCGAGCTCAGGTGGTCAGCAGGAAGGTGATGAGTAGAAACAGAAGCAAGAAAGACATGTTCTCTATGGTGTGCAGCAACACCGGGTCGTAGTAGTAAAACCTGTTTTTGTATTTGATGATTTTGTTTTCTAAAGGAATAATAAATTTAATAAATGTGTCAAGATCATTCGTTTCACTATTCTGGATCATTTTCATCCTAATAAATTAACCTGATACATTTACTTTACTTTAAATAAGCTATTTAGTGGTGTTGGTAAAAGGGTGGGAATACTGAATTTTCATAAGATTTCAAGTTAAAATTTACCTAGCAAAAAATGAAAAATTTTCAAATCTGAAGATATCACATGATTCTGCACATAGAACTACATCATTAATACCATGGGCCGATTTTTCAAACTCAAAAAAAAAAAATTCGCCTCCGTATGACACACCCTACTCCAGTAGGCACCCTTCCTGTCAACGAAGATCAGCCAAACATCCTTCCATCTCACTAACGAAATAATATTAATAACACAGACCTTGGCCCAAGGAAAACATTAATCTGCATTGACTCGAAAGAAAAAAGATCACAGAATAGTGTTCTAGATACAACGATGATCTACATAATCCCCAAGATATTCTTTTTCAGCGAGACAGGAAGTCGTTCCTGGGCTTTCTAATCCACTGTAAGCGTCAGACACCAACTACTCCTTAATGCCAAAAGAGACTGAACTCGTAAACTTAAGAATATCCTTACCCGTCCACACACCCACTCTACTATATAAAATTGTTCCCACCACACGGAAACGAACTGAGTTTGGGAGAGAAACATTTTGTGAACATTTAAGCCAAGTTGTAGCCCGTAGATATGTCGGGTAAAATCGCAAATCTTTTTGGATCGAAACCAGACAACAAAGAATTTATGATTATAATAAATAATAAGTATTTGATGTGACCTCATTCGCCCACATATACCCAACTAGAGGAAAATTTCTGTTGTATCAAAATGGGGACGGTTCACTGATGGTGTCCTTATCTACCTGATGGAAGTACAGTACGCAGACTTTTCCTTTATCATATTCATGCGCTGCTTCCACTGACTTGTTTATTCTACAACAGTTGTAGCCCGAGTTTACAATAAGATAATTCCACGTGTATTTTTCTTCTCCTTTAGCTCTTGAGCTTTGAGTCACTTCCCTAGCTTGGGCAGCCATCATACATTCCATATAGTAAATGTGTTCGTTTTTTGAAGAACAAACAGTGGGGATCTGTCGACTAAGATGTTTCAAGTTATTCTTATGAATCTCTCACACATATTTGACATAGTTTGGCAGAGTCTAATTTCCTCATTATAATCTTAATGGTGTACTGGTAACGTTGCAGTTAAAACAATTCTTACACTGTTAACTTACTAATGTAGAAAGTCAGTAGCTCATACTGCCTCAGCACGAAACTTTGCGAATTCTAAACCATAGTACAAGTAGCTATCAAGAAAGAGATTCATTCTCATGAGAATTGTACACATCACCGGAAAAATAAAATAATATAATAGCTATGAGCATATTAATAGAACATGTCAGATTAAAAAAGGAATTATAGAATATTCAGTCTGATGAAAGTTTAAAAAACATCCATAGCAAAATTGTTAATGAATGAGCTTCAAAAACTATCAGAACATTTCAAAATAAGTGTTAAAGACTTCAGTATCAATATAAAAACAAAAATAAAAATAAAGCAGTAATAAACGAAACACTACAGTGTCATCCTTCAACATGACTCGGGCACCACATCATTCAAAACAAGAACTCGTGAAGATGTCCCATTGTTATAAGCTAGTCCTGTTGGGCACTTGATCCATTATGTAATTAAAGCAAATATTAGGTCAAAAGAATCACAGGATGAGGAAGAGAAATAACCAAAGCATCAGTCATACATTATCTTACTTTATATAGAACCAACCGTGTGACACAGCTTACAAACAAGTGACCATCTCAGTGGCATCAACAACAAGGATGAAACTCATGCCGCTCCACAGATCATGGCGATCACCAAAATAAAACTCAAACAGTCACATCCAACTCAGCGGGTCAAGGCTCCAGTGGGCGGCACAGGGGCGCCGTCCACCGTGTTTACCTCCACGATCTGGAAAGAACGACTCATCATGGCAATGAGCATGTTGACCATCACGGTGATGGCCATGATGAGGTAGGCCCCCAGCAGCGAGTGACCGATGATGTCCGTGAAGAGGTGGTCCCGACGGTTTGACAACTCCTTCAGGGGGATAACGCCGAAGAGGGACCAGAGGAGGGCGGTGTAGGACTTGTCGATCCTAGAGTGTGGTGGAGGAGGTGCCGGGGTCAGTGAAGCACACACTCTTACGTGTGGGGGAGGCACACGGACGAGTAAATTCTTATGGGTAAGGGAGAGGGATCAGACACTAGGGCTGTAAATGGCTCTAAGATCAAATTGCGCACAGTATTAAAAACTGAGGGTTGGGCGTGAGGTGCTAGTGTTTAAACGGACATGAGGACGTGTTGGGAGGGAGGCAGATAAGAGGGAGGGCGTTCAATAAATATAATTCAAGGTTAAGGATTTTTTGATAACAGACACTTACAACAAGCCAGGTATAAGAGTTAGTGGCTTGGCGTAAGCTTTTATTCCGTCCTTGGAATAATGTTACCCGTGTGACTCGAACAAGAATCATTAAGGCTTGGAATCTAAGTGGTCTTGGATCTCCATCTAATTTGGGTTAACCTTCCAAACCCTAATGAAACCTCTGGTAGGGGAGGTGAAATGAGCTGTGAAGTGATTATTATAATGAAAATATCGAATAATCTATAAAAAAAAAATTGCAAAAATGATAACATATACCATGCTGTGGGAAAGACAGGATGGTGGATGTGACAGAACCTGCAGGAGAAAGCGGTAAAAGATCCATCTAATAATCACTACATATAAGCTCGTGTGAACAAAACATGAACATGAAATGTAGAAAATCTATTACAAAATTTCAATTTTTTTTTCTAGATTAATTTATGACCTACGAGTCATTAACAAGTGACTTATAAGATCCATACCAGCAAAACATCTTCTGGCTGAGCTGTCCTTTGCTAGACCACTTGTGACATGTTTAGTGACGGGTTGGATTATATAGAGTGGCAGCTTTGTTGCAAATGTTGTAACTGTACGGTCAGAGGATCCTGCTACTAAATACACCAAGAGGCAGGCAGGGATCTTATAGGTTACTAGTTTCTTTCCCTCGGTCATGAAATGGGATTTTATACTTCAAGCATCTATAATCATCATCATCATCGCCGTTTTAGTCAGCCATTTTCCACGCTTACAAGGGTTAGCCGTGATCACCTGATGGCATGGTGTCCCAGATTGCCATCAGGCAAATTTGAAGAAAGTTTCATATTTAAGAATGTATAGGAGATGTCTTCTCTATTCTGGTGTAGAGAGCTTGCTTGCGCTCCTGGCAGCACGCCGAATGAGCCCTAGAGAACTAAAATATTATTACAGCATTATAATGTAAGAGAAAATAAATTAAAGGGTGGTACTTGTTCTGAAAATGTCCTGCATGTTACGGTCATAAAAGCACAAAAGTGATGATCTGCGCCTTCTCCATCCACAGCCTCACTGGCAGGAGATAATACTGTAGTCTGAAAATTTTATAAATTATCTAACAGCTGAAAGTAAAACAAACGTATATTACAATGCCATTAACAGATAAAGAGAAGACACTTCAGAAGGCGTTAAAAGTGTCTTGTTGTTATCCCCCTGACACGAAGGTCCAACTGCATTTTGGCTTCTCCCTGTAAGAGTAGGTATTTAGGTACAAAGTGCAAAAGTGTCATAGATGATAATTATACCTAGAATTATTCAGAGCAACAAAGAAAACACAAAAGCACTAAATAAAACATTCGTCATCGCATGAGATTATTCTTATCAGTGATAAGTGACAACAAACTCCAGTAGGTCAGAGGGGGCACAGACTGAGCTAAGATCATTCTGGGAGTGTCAGATACGAGATACTTATTACCTGTGTACTTTGTTAACACTCTTAATCACAGCACAGGAGGAGGAGGAGTAATAGATGAAGATGTGTCGACGTGCCACAGCCTCCCCTCCCCAGCTCCTCATTCTTATGTGCTACTGAATTGTCTAAAAAAAATCTGCCTTTTTACCATTCACTGAAGCTAAATAATGAATATATCAAACTTGGATGTTAAAAGAGAATAAAATGCTCATCTCTCATCAAGACTGACTTTAATTTTCCAAACAAGTTTAAAATACAACAGAATCTTTAATTTCAATAACACTTTGGGAGTTACAAATTATTGGTTAAGTATCGAGGTTTCATATAACTCTGATAACAGCTCACGTTTGTTATTAAATTAGACTTTGCGATGAAAACAGTGTGTTTTTTAGTGATTGAAGAAATAAATTATATAACAGGTACCTGACATGACCTGGTGTCGCCCTGAGGGGTACACGACACTCCTGCTGTACCAGATAGAGCCAGAGTATAAACAGTTGACAACCATCCTCACACCAGCAACACTGAGCTCAATATTCACACATTTATATTAAAGCATCAGGACGGATATAATGAGTATACTATGGTGTTTAAGCACGACATATACTAGTGCGTTTTCACCTAGAACTATAGAGGGCGGGTGAGGGGGGGGGGGGTGACCAAGGCAGCACAGTTAATCATAACGAATTGAATACTTAGATGGAATGAAATAATTAAATTTAATAAACTGAGGTTATACGTGTACAGTGATGTGTGTTGGTGGGTCGATCAGCCCCTCTGAGGGTCACGTCCGGTGGTGATGTTGCTTATAACATCTGTTCATTGTCTCTGCTAAGATATGACTAAGAGAATCCCTGTGGAAACTATAATTATATAATTTTTCTCCCATACTTTTTTTCTTCACTTTCGGTATTCACTAGAATTTGAGATTATTGTGGCGCTCTATAAATTTCAAAATTATCGTTTATGAAAAAACTTACACTTCCCTTTTCTCATCTCCCATTCACCGAGACAGTGACACAGGAACTGAACATTATACTAACAACTCTTGAGTCTTTAAATTCAGCCATGGACACTGAGCAAAATTGGCAAGATCTTTTTAAATGTAGATGACTCCTCGATGAATGTGTTCCCTGGCTAAAGCTGAACACTATGACTGCCTTCTGACTTACTGTGTTATTTAACTCTACCGGCAAAAAAGAACACCACCATCACGTTTGGAGTTACGTTTACATGTGTGTCAATAAAACCCTACTGACCTTTGGCTTGTTATGGGAAAGGTAATTGTAGGTGGGTTTTTTTACGATGACTGTGTACATTATAGTAATTGACGGATGATAATTATTGTAAACATTGTGGTAAGAGAAAGAGTCTAGCATAAGTAGTCTTTAGGTGCCAGCACATCTCTGTTACCTGACTAGTAGCTTAGCAGGGTGATTCGCCAAGACATTTTTATTTTCGTAACGTCTATGTGTGAACTGTGGCATTGTGTCGCTTTGTCATAATCGTCGAACAGAATTTATGTTGATTTCTACCTGAAGCTAACTCCTACCTGAAGCTGACTCTTACTTGAAGCTGACCCCTACCTGAAGCTGACCCCTACCTGAAGCTAATCCATACCTGAAGCTAACCCTTACCTGAAGCTGACCCATACCTGAAGCTAACTCCTACCTGAAGCTAACCCCTACCTGAAGTTGATGCCTACCTGAAGTTGACTCCTACCTGAAGATGACCCTTACCTGAAAATGACTCCTGTCTGAAGCTAACCCCTACCTGAAGCTGACTACCTGAAGTTAACTCCTACCTGAAGCTAATTCCTACTTGAAGCTGACCCCTACTTGAAGCTGACCCCAACCTAAAGCTAACTCCTACCTGAAGCTGATTCCTACCTGAAGCTGACCCCTACCTGAAGCTGACTACTTGAAGCTGACCCCACCTAAAGCTAACTCCTACCTGAAGCTGATTCCTACTTGAAGCTGACCCTACTTGAGGCTAATTCTGACCCATACCTGAAGCTGACCCCACCCTGACCCACCAGAAGCTAACCCCTACCTGAAGCTGATGCCTACCTGAAGTTGACTCCTTCCTGAAGATGACCCTACCTGAAAATGACCCCTACCTAAAGCTAACTCCTACCTGAAGCTGACTCCTACCTGAAGCTGACCCCTACCTAAAGCTAACTCCTACCTGAAGCTGACTCCTACCTGAAGTTGACCCCTACTTGAGGTTAATTCCTACCTGAAGCTGACCCCTAACTGAAGCTGATAGCAACCTGAAGCTGACCCCTAACTGAAGCTGCTGACCCCTATAGTTGATCTTTCACACCTCTACAATAAAAGCGCGGTGCAACACTCTACATCAGCGGTGAGCCTATGGGGGGGGGGGGGAGCTTTTCTGAGTGTCTTTTGAGGGTAACACGTAAAGGCGACCATTTAGAGGGAGCCGCTCAGGATAAGGTCAGGACTTTACAGGAAGTTGATAAGTCTCAAGGATAACAAATTATGTAGTTGAACTTTGAGTATATGAGAATATGGCACCTTGATGTACTATAGGTCTCGAAGGTAACTTTTTTAAGGTAATGTTTATAATTAATATATCAGGCAATTTTTTTTTTTAGTTTCATTAGTACATATTGGACGTGAGTTGGGATTAGTTATACTTTTAAGAGAGAACTTACGTGGGATCATTTAACAATCGACTTACAAAAGTGATCTTCAAGTGCAACCTTTAGAGGTATCTTCATAAAGGTGAGTGGAATAAGTGACTTTAGAGACCTTTAAGGGAAATATTCTGAAGGGAGAGACTTTTGAAAATATTTAAAAGAGAATATTAAAATTTGAACTAGTTAGTGGTCATAAAGTGTGACCTTTAAGGTTTAGGAATAAGGCTGACCTCTATGGGGGTAGAATAAAAACTACAACCTTAAAAATAACTAAAGAGTCTGAATTTTAGAGACAATACCAAAGTCTGACCTTATAGAGGGACCATCAAGTGAGACCTTTAAGGGTTGTGTATACGAGTGCCCCTGTGAGGACGACCCTGTGACGATGATTTTTTTATTTTTTTTTTAAGGAAAACGTAAAAAGGTGACCTTTAAGAGCGACCCTCAAGTGCGACCTGTGAGGGGGACAGACAAGGGTGAGGCGGAGGGTGGCACCAGTAAATGTGACTCACGTCTTGAAGCCGCCCTTGTACTCCCCGCCGTCACTGTATGAGAAATATTACCATCAGTGGATCAGAATGGATAGATAGATTAAAAGGATGAGTGGATCAAAATAGATAGATGGATTATGGGCGGGGAGGGGTCAGTGTATCAAAATTGATAGATGGGTTATGGGAGGGGTCAGTGGATCATAATAGATAGATGGATTAAAGGGGGTCAGTGGATCAGGATAGATGGATTGGTCAGGTCAGGATCAAAATTGATAGATGGGTTATGGGAGGGGTCAGTGGATCATAATAGATAGATGGATTATGGGCGGGGAGGGGTCAGTGGATCAAAATTGATAGATGGGTTATGGGAGGGGTCAGTGGATCATAATAGATAGATGGATTAAAGGGGGTCAGTGGATCAAAAGAGATACAGTAGGTGGATTAAGAGGAATATGTGAATCAAAATAGATTGATGGATTAAGGGGGTCGGTGGATCAAAATAAATAACTGGATTACGGGGAATATGGATCAAAAGAAATAGATGGATTAAAGTATATCAATTGATCAGAATAAATGGTTGGATTTCCGTGGATCAGTGGGCCAAAAGGAACAATGCATCAAAGTAGTTAACAAGAGAATAACAAGAAACAAAAAAAAATAAATGGATAGGATAAATGGATAAAGGCATAAGGAGAACAGGAAGAATGCGAGGATAATGACTGAGCAAAGTGGATTAAGATGAATCACCGAATCAAAGCATTCATAAGGATTAGTGTGGATTGAAGGTGGCAAAGAATCAATATACAGAATATAAAGGAAAATGGATCAATATGAATCAATGGATCAATATGAATCAATTTGAGTTCAGGACAGAAAGTATTATATTGCCTCAGAATACAAAGCAGGATTCATGATTCAAAATACAAGTAAAAAATGAGTCACACAGAGAACCACTGAGTCAATGATCCATGAATCCTAATGAATGATTGAGCGTTAAAGGATTAGTAAATGTGTAACACCAAGTCAGGCCAGATGAATGAACCAGAGAGAACCACAAACAATATGGTTAATGAAGCAAGGGAAACACAGGGTACAGTCTCACCCAGCCAGCTATTGCTACACTGCCTGCTTCAGATGTATGAAACTGTCTCAGTACCAACCAGAACATGAAACCGATACGAATGAATCTAAAGGTTCGAAGTAACAGACTCAAGTTCATATATCTGAAGCAGGCAGTGTAGCACTAGCTGGCTGGGTGAGTTAACTAGCTTCTGGGTAAGACTGTACCAATATATCCATTAACCGCGATACATTACTTCAAATACAATAGTGTGTAAAAAAAATAGATTAGTTTTAGTAAGAAAAAAAATATATAAGTGAATTCAGTGGACGATGGATCAAATAATTGGATCACAGAATTTATGAGTTGAATGAATGACAGAGGGTCCCTAGGTAAGTGTGGATCATTGGGTGAACTGAGGTGCTACATATATATTTTTTTCATACATACACAGGAATATATTTCTCTATCTAGCATATGTGAGCCGTGTTGTCTCCTCCATATAAACAACTCAGCTATTCAAGGACTCCCTCTCTCCCTTTCCTCTTCTAGTTACTTTTATTCCTTTCCTTCCTTTACCCTCCATCTCTAATTAACTAATAGTCTTCGTCAATCTTTTTTTCTTCTTCCGTCTTTCTTTTCATTCTCTATTCAAAATTTTCTCCTTACGCTGAAGACATTTCTCTTTTATTTCCTTCTTAAACTTCAAACTAATCTTACGACAATACAGGTTCCCTTCACTTATTTTTTTCATCTTCATCATCTTCTTGTACTGTTATATATCGTTGTGTGCCTCTTTGTGGAGTTGACCTGAACCATCCTCCATGGCACATCCCCGTACCTCCCTGTCACACCTCCCTGTCACACCTTCCTCTCATACCCCCATACCTCCCTGTCACACCTCCCTGTCACACCTTCCTCTCATACCCCCATACCTTCCTGTCACCTCTCCCTCTCACACCCCCATACCTCCCTGTCACACCTCCCTGTCACACCTTCCTCTCACACCCCTATACCTCCCTGTCACATCTCCCTCTCTCCCCACACCCAAATACAGGTGAATACGCACTATATAACCCATATCACCGCGAAAACTTCCTCCATGATCCTTATTTTCACACACACACACACACACACACACACACACACACACACACACACACACACACACACACATCATCACAAACACTCTTTCATGAAACACAATTCCACATACAGACACTCCTCAATAACCCACATCTCCGAACACATTCCTAACTACACTCTCCGTCGTGATCCACATATCCACAAACACACAACCCCAAATGAAACACATCTCCACATACAGTCCTTCATGACCCACACCTCCACATGCACTCCTTCATCATCCATTATATGTGTCACGTGACTACCTCCACAACTGCTCCTCCACGTCCCACATTAAGACTTCTACAAACGCTCGTGCATGACTCACTACCCCCTGTGGCTGCCAAAAGATAATAGTCAGTCATCTTGTGTGACTCACGTGTTGAAGGCGTCGGAGCCCGTGTGGCAGGAGGTGTCCCCGTCAGCAGCAGTGTAGGTGGTGCTGGGGGGGTCGTAGTACCAATACAGCTGGTTAAGGCCGCAAGCAAAGCTCGTCAGCACCAGGAAGAAGATAAATAGAAACTTGGCAATATCTGGAAGCAAGAGTGAGAAGAACAAAAGTAAATATGAGTAAGACATTCAACAGTAATACGACACCTGAACTGTTGTGTCTTCCAACTTCCCAATATTAGATCTCGATATATGGAATGCCACAAGAGTTTCTACAGTGCTGTGTGGCCAATATTTTTATCCCATTTTACGCTACTTAAAAAAAGACGAAAGCTAAGGTGCTCCATTGTTTCCCTTTTCCCTGTGTGATTTTATCAAGAGTTACTTGAACATTTATGACAGACATACTTTTCTTAACCCATCACTCGGACAGGGTAGCCAAGGTCACCTACATAATATTCTTATAAGTAAACGGTGCTCGAACATGTAATCCCTCTTACAAGTGTAGATAAATGTATCCTTTATAAATGCTCAATGTAATAATTAAATAGACCCATACAAACTACCACACTTTCATATATCCAATATCATGAGAACCATATCAATTATTGTCTAAGTTTCATTAGGTACTTCAGCTTTAAATGTGAGTTCCTTCATTGAAAAGATCATACACAATATGATGCACTTCAGATGTACTTAGAAAGAAAAAAACTGTCACATGGAGTTGATGACCAAGAGATTAATGACACATAATTACTGGTTCAGAATTTCACAGACAGGTTGTTAGGTGGCGTTTCATTATTTCCAAAGGCCGTGGTTTTAATAATTCGTGAAGTGTATTCTTAATCTAACAGGTAGAGGAAGTCCTGACCGTCAGTGTACCGGAGTAAGGAACAATGTGCGATACTTATGGCTCGTGTCTAATGCAGGCTTTAGTGTCTGATAAAGCCTGCTTATTATCCAGAGTTCGAATGACGTCACATAGATACAAGCTGAAGCCAATGTCATGTTAATTAGATCATTTTACGTATGAAAAAAAAAAACGTATTCACATCTGTATTGACGTTAACGTTTGTGAAATATATCAAGACAAAATACATTAAATTTACCTAACCATTCCCACCGAAAAAAAAAAATATATATAATGAATTTGTAATACAGTGAATGGATCATTAAGACAATATGATTATAAATGAATAATAAGTCAATGGCTGTTAATATTTAAGGAAACAATCTGGTTATTATAGGAATCACTGGTTTTGATAATCATAGGATTAACTAACTGGGGCTAAAAAATGAGACCTTCCTGCTCGACTGTGACTGAAGAGATTACAATACTTTCTAAACATAAAAACAATTACTAACTGTTTACATCTTACGTACCAATGATCATACAGCCAAGGGAGATTTGGAGAGGGCCAAGGTGAGGATTAGTCTGGAAGAGGTAAATAATCCTAGCGAAGGAGAAGACATTGGCCACAGCGAACACTCCTTCAGCTATAAGTGTCGGGTCGTTGGCTGGCCACTGGGAGCGAGGGACCTCTCTGTGGATATCAACAACGGTCAGAATGGTGCACTTGATCAAGGGGTATATAGAAATGGTTTCTGTTGAGTGTTTTTTTTTATTCTTTGGATATATGTAACAGTAGGAGACAGCGGTGAGGACAGTGGGGTGGTGATTTGATGTTAATGAAGTTGATAATAGGGAAGAGAAAGGGAAAGAATGGGTTAAGAGAATACGAATTGAAGAGAAAGAGGAGTTAAGAGAGAGGAAAAAGAAACTATAAATGTAGAAAATTGAAGACTGGAATAGGCAAACAAAGATAAGAATGGAAATAAAGAAGAGATGAGGGAAAAGGGAGAAAACAGGAGAGAAAGATTGGAGAAAAAACTTAATATGTGAGAGAAAAATCATTATAAGGGGCAAGGGATGTGTGAGGAGGAGTGAGGGAAGGCAGTATGAGGAAAGGACGTATATGGGGTGAGAGTGTAGGTGGGGGGACTGTGAGGGAAAAGGGGTGAGGAGTGGGGTCTGAGGTGTGAGGGAGGGATTGTGAGGTGAAGGGGGTGAGGGGGGAGGGATTGTGTTGGGAAGGGGTGTGAGGGAAGGGAGAAAGAGGGGGAAAAGTGTGAGAGGAGAGTGGTCAGGAGAGGGAATGAGAGAGTAGGTGAGAGGAAGGGTGTACTACCATCAACAAGTGAGAGGAGAGTATGAGGGGTAAGGTGTAGTAACAGCGTCAGGTGAGGGGAGCGAGGGTGAGAGCAGGTTGTTCTGGCAGCGCCAGGAGAGGGGAGGGTGACGACTGTTGTGTCGCTAAGAGGATAACAGTTAACAAGTGGAGGAGTTTTTCACACACACACACACAAAGAGACAGTGTGTGTGTGTGTGTGTGTGTGTGTGTGTGTGTGTGTGTGTGTGTGTGTGTGTGTGTGTGTGTGTGTAATAACAATAATTAACAATTTATTGAAAAGTTCTACAGCCCGAAGGCTGAAAATATACATTGGACAGAAATTACTTATTTCATACATTGACATAGGGGGGTTAACAAAAGCTTTCATTAGAGAAAGATAAAGGAACATTCAGTGAACATACAATGTAATGTTTACAGTGGAGGTCACGTAGATCATGTGCACTGAGGTGTTGAACAACAAACATGTGGTGCAATAAATACCCTCACAGAGGGTGTTATGAAAGACCTCACGTGGTGCAATAAATACCCTCACAGAGAGTGTTATGAATGACCTCACGTGGTGCAATAAATACCTCATAGATGGTGTTATGAGGGACCTCACGTGGTGCAATAAATACCCTCATAGATGGTATTATGGACCTCACGTGGTGCAATAAATACCCTCACAGATGGTGTTATGAGGGACCTCAAGTGGTGCAATAAATACCCTCACAGATGGTGTTATGAGGACCTCACGTGGTGCAATAAATACCTCATAGATGGTGTTATGAGGGACCTCACGTGGTGCAATAAATACCCTCACAGATGGTGTTATGAGGACCTCACGTGGTGCAACAAATACCCTCACAGATGGTGTTATGAGGGACCTCACGTGATGTTGTAGCAACTCTTCCTCTACGTGACGTCGTAGCGTCATGGAGACACCACGAGGCCTGATGTCACAGGACCTTGCTCACTCAAGTGGTGTACTGTTAGGTGCTGAGGTCCAACCCTCGATCGGTCCCAGGCCTCTTATCGTGGATGGATTAACACACCGCTGCTTGTTCTTGGGTCTCATAGGCAGTTATCACTGGGTACCTGGGACCTCAATGTGTGAAGGTTGACTAAGCCAAGGACAAAATACTGTGTTTAGTCCTTGGACTAGGCCACGACTCTCAGTTGTTACTGTTCAACGTTGTTTTCACTGGCTTAAGCACTGTTTAACACTGGTTCCACTCCTTTCCGAAATGAAATTGTAACTTCTGGCGAGAACTTGCTGATATTCCAGTGGGGAGGAGGGGTTGAAGGAGGGAGTTGGGGTAAGGACGAACACTTTGCCTGGCAGCTGAGAGCAGCGCCAGATAGGTCTTGACCCTCTAGTGTGTGTGTGTGTGTGTGTGTGTGTGTGTGTGTGTGTGTGTGTGTGTGTGTGTGTGTGTGTGTGTGTGTGTGTGTGTGTGTGTGTGTGTGTGTGTGTGTGTGTGTGCGTGTGTGTGTGTGATTTGGTTGGGGATGAGTGGCAAAAAATATTATTTTCATTCCTAATTATTTATGTGATTATTCAAGTTTTTTTTCAAATTTATTGAAGTGTAATCTGTATTTTATTTTATTTTAATATTATGAGGAACAGCTAAATATATGTTTGATGGAGTATTGCATGATATAAAATGTAAGTAAAATTATATGGACTCAGAATTTAGGGAATTATAGCATTATATCCAAGACAAGTTAACATTTAAATGGTTGCCCACACACACACACACATACATATATATATATATATATATATATATATATATATATATATATATATATATATATATATATATATATATATATTTCATTTTTAGTCCATATAACACGCGGACTTTGAACATGTAATCAACGACCTCACCAGCCAGGACTCGAACCCTCCACCTATTGCATAGGACCAGGGAACATTACCGATCATACCACAAGAGCACTTGCTCTTGTGGTATGGTCGGTAACGTTCTCTGGTCCCATGCATTACTGGTCGAGGGTTCGAGTCCTGGCTGGTGAGGTCGTTGATTATATATATATATATATATATATATATATATATATATATATATATATATATATATATATATATATACATATATACATACATACATACATACATACACATACATACATACATACATACATACATACATACATACAGGGTGTCCCATAAATTTCCATACATAGGAAAAATAAATTTTATATGAAAATCCATTTTTATTTATATAATATGCTCTACATGACTACCATTCTGTTGAAAACACTCTTCAATGCGTGTCCTCCACTGCTGAAGAACACGTTCAAGCACAGCTGGAGTTATGCTTGTAATGGCGTTGGTGATACGTTGTATGGAAACTTATGGGACACCCTGTATATATATATATATATATATATATATATATATATATATATATATATATATATATATATATATATATTTCATGTAGATCCACAATGAAGACCTGGAAAAGATAAATCTAGAAAAAATCACACAGGAAAAAGGGAATCAATAGAGCACCTTAGCTTTCGTCTTTATTCAAGACATCTTCAGAGGCAACTGCAAATGTCTTGAATAAAGACGAAAGCTAAGGTGCTCCATTGTTTCCCTTTTCCTGTGTGATCTTATCTATATATATATATATATATATATATATATATATATATATATATATATATATATATATATATATATATATATATATATATGTTGATCCTCACCTAACATCTACCTGTATACAGTACTACGGTACTGGGCAACAGAATTATCAAATAAGAGTTTTAACACCAGTCTAATCTGGTACCAAACTCAACACACGTGTCTCTCTACTGGCGAGACATAACACCTGTCTTACTGGAAATACACGAATTACCTGAGATCATGAGTGTTTCACCTGGGACCACGGAGTTGTCAGCTGAGACTACAAGTCTTACCTGGGACCATGAGGGTTTCACCTAGGACCATGGGGGGTCTTACCTGGAACCATGAGAATTTCACCTAGGACCATGAAGATCTTACCTGGGACCATGAAGACCTCATTTGGGACTACGGAGACCTCACCTGGGACCATGAGGGTCTCACCTGGGACCGTACTTGTTGGTGGTGATTTGGATGAAGGCGACGGCTCGGAGGCTGAAGGTGCAGAGGTAAAGAGACAGCATAATAAAGTCCAGCCAGTTCCACCACTGACGGATGTAAGCTGTCAGTCCCTCTTCCCACAGCTGCTTGCACTCCGCCCACACCTGCAACAACCAACACATTTGTGGTGAAATAGCTCATTTTAAGACATGCATTACATGTGTCTTGTGGTTGCACCCTGTACCACTGTATAAGGGCCACCAATATCTTTTGGAGGGCAGTCGAGGGCATCAGTGTATAGGAGCTTCTTGATAAGTTCAAGGCAGCTATAGATCGCATTAGGACTAGGGGAGGGATCCCTATCATATGCGCTGTCCTGCCTAGAAGGAGGGTTGGCAGTGAATGGTTGTCAAGGGCGGTTGGTGTCAACGGCCGTCTTGACAGATATTGCAAGTCAATATCAGTCCCATTCATTGACAACTGGGACAACTTCTATGGCAGAAGGGACCTTTATGCTAGGGATGGGGTGCACCTGTCTAGGGATGGGGTGGCAACCCTGGCTGGGTCTCTCGAGAGGGCAGTTCAAAGGATATCGAAGCCTTTAAACTACTAGGGGAACATATGGGAACGGGGGTGGAGGAGACTGCAGTGGAAGCGGGTAAACAAAGTGAAAGATTACAGGGAAATAGTGTTAGGAATGAGGAGAAATCTAAATTAGACAGGGAGTTAAAACCTAAATGCGGTAAGGGGAGGACTCAGAACACGACTAACTTAAATGTCTACTACGCGAACAGTAGAAGTATGAGAAACAAAATGGATGATATTAGGGCCTTGGTATGTACCGAAAAAATCGATATAATAGCATTCACTGAAACATGCATCAACTTAGACTCACGTGAGTTACCGGTCGAATACCAAATTGCGGGTTACAAATTGTTCCATACCAATAGGCAGACACGACATAGATATCGGCATAGACAGCAACATAAGTAAATTTGCTGATGACACTAAAATAGGACGTGTAATTAAATCTGATGAGGACTCTGCAAAACTACAGGAAGTTCTAAACAAATTTTTCGAATGGTCGGAAAAATGGCAGATGAAATTCAATGTGGACAAATGTAAAGTACTCAGTATAGGAGATGTAAACAGGGAAACCAGTTACCAGATGAACAACGATGCCATTGTGGAATCCGACTGCGAGAGAGAATTAGGAGTAATGATAAGTAGGAATCTTAAGCCAAGTAAACAATGTGTTTTTGCTCGTAACAAGGCTAATAAAGTACTTGGGTTCATACAAAGGAGTGTTAGTTACAAGACTAGCGAGGTCATCTTAAAATTATATCTAGAGCTTGTGAGACCTCACCTGGATTACGCAGTTCAGTTCTGGTCACCGTATTACAGAATGGATATAGAATCCTTGGAAAGAATTCAGAGGAGAATGACAAGACTAATCCCTGGCATTAGGAACCTTAAGTACAGAGACAGGTTAAAGCATCTTAATTTGCACTCCCTCGAGAGATGTAGAGTGAGGGGCGACATGATAGAGGTGTATAAATGGAAGTCAGGGTTAAACAAAGGGGACATTACAAAGGTACTCAAACTATCCAACCAGGAGCGAACTCATAACAATGGTTTTAAATTAGACAAATTTAGATTTCGGCGTGAAATAGGTAAACACTGGTTTGGAAACAGAGTAGTGGATAAATGGAACAAGTTACCAAATATCATCATTAACTCGAATACACTGGATAGCTTCAAACATAGGTTGGATGCTTATATGAGCAATAGGGGTTGGGTGTAAATGGGACTGCCCAGTATGGGTCAATAGGCCCGCTGCAGTTTCCTCCATTCTTATGTTCTTATGTTCTTATGTCTTGGCCCCATAAGACAGATGATGATGCAGGTAGACAAGGGATATGGTTCTCATTTACTGTCTGGGGGAAAAATAATAGTGTCTTCATTTGGATATATACTCTATATGTAATGTGTGATTTCATTGACAAATTACAACAAAACCACAAATGGCGACGACCACCAACAACAACAGCAACGAGAAGAAGAACAAAAACAACAACAATAATAATAATAAAAATAAAAATAAAAATAATAATAATAATAGTAATAGTAATAATAATAATAATAATAATAATAATAATTATAATAATACTAATAATAATAATAACGACGGTGTATTGAAAAATACAGCGACCGTAGATTGAAAAAATGTGTGTGTGTGTGTGTGTGTGTGTGTGTGTGTGTGTGTGTGTGTGTGTGTGTGTGTGTGTGTGTGTGTGTGTGTGTGTGTGTGTGCGTGTGTGTGTGCGTGTGTGTGTGTGTGTGAGTGTGTGATTTGGTAAGAAATTCTAGGCATCAGATTTAAAGAGCCAAACAAAGCATGTGGGAAACTGTGTTCTCTTGATAATTGTCCAGTCGTAATTTCAAAATTGTTTCTGAGTGGAGCAACCCATGTGAGGGACCCCTACACCCAGATACACCATGTGAGGGGACCACACCCCGGTACACCATGTGAGGGGACCCCTACACCCAGGTACATCATGTAAGGGGACCCCCACACGCAGGTACACCATGTGGGGGGACCCCTACACCCAGGTACACCATGTGAGATGACTCCTACACCCAGGTACACCATGTGAGGGACCCCTGCACCCAGGTACACCATGAGAGAGGACCCATACAACTAGGTACACAATGCGAGAGGACCCCTACACCCAGGTGCACCATGTGAGGGACCCCTACACCAAGGTACACCATGTGAGGGATCCCCTACACCCAGGTACACCATGTGAGGGGACCCCTACACCAAGGTATATCACGTAAGGGGACCCCTACACCCAGGTACACCATGTAAGGGGACCCCCACACCCAGGTACACCATGTGTGGAGCCACTACACCCAGGTACACCATGCGAAGGACCCCTACACCCAGGTACACCATGTGAAGGGACCCCTACACCCAGGTGCACCATGAGAGAGGACCCATACAACTAGGTACACCATGTGAGAGGACCCCTACACCCAGGTGCACCATGTGAGGGAGCCCTACACCAAGGTACACCATGTGAGAGGACTCCTACACCCAGGTACACCATGTGAGGGACCCCTACACCCAGGTACATTACGTAAGGGGACCCCCACACCCAGGTACACCATGTGTGGGGCCACTACACCCAGGTACACCATGATACAGAAGGACCCCTACACCCAGGTACACCATGAAGGGACCCCTACCCAGGTGCACCATGAGACCCATACAACTAGGTACACCATGTGAGAGGACCCTACACCCAGGTGCCATGTGAGAGCCTACACCCAAGGTACACCATGTGAGAGGACTCTACACCCAGGTACACACCATGTGAGGACCCCTACACCCAGGTACGTGCGTGGGGATTTACACCCAGGTACACCATGTGAGGCCACTACACCAGGTACACCATGATAGAGATTGGCCTGTGTCATGCAGAGGCAATTTTTTTTTTGAGTTTGAAAAATCGGCCCATGGTATTAATGATGTAGTTCTATGTGCAGAATCATGTGATATCTTCAGATTTGAAAAAAGTTTTATTTTTGATAGGTAGAATTTGGCAAATCTTATGAATTCAGTATTCCCCACCCTTTTACCAACACCACTAAATAGCTTATTTAAAGTAAAAGTAAATGTATCAGGTTAATTTATTAGGATGAAAATGATCCAGAATAATTAAACAGGCCAAATCTTGACACATTTATTAAATTTAATATTCCTTTGTAAAACAAAATCATCAAATACAAAACCGGTTTTTACTACTCGACCGGTGTTGCTGCACCATAGAGAACATGTCTTTCTTGCTTCTGTTTCTACTCATCACCTCCCTGCTGACCACCTGAGCTCGGATGTAGCCTTCCCTCCTCTCCTGGCTGTACCGTGACTGCTGACCTCGCTCACTTGCTGTACACAACTCTATACTGGGTGTGCAGGGCCAGGCAGGGACATGCATGGGTTGTCCAGAAAGCCTCTGACTTGAACATTGGTGTGAGGCTGCAGGTAAGAAGGCTCACACTGCCAACCTGGATGTTATCAAGATCTATGAGATCAGTGAGGAGTCTTGGCACCTAGATTGACTTCAGGGAGTCTTCCTGACCCTGAGAATCGTCACCAACGATTCGTCATGCAGATCCTCTCATAAGTCTCTATCCAAGATCTTTGACTGCCACTCTTCTCCTCCTCATCCTTACTGCAGAGCATTGTCTGCAGAACTTTGCCTCGGGATGAGCATACCAGGAAGATCTCCCTCACAGTCTGCTCCACAATCTGAACAACCTTCCTTGGCTGACTCCTCCAGGAGCTCAAGCTGGAAGAACATGCCTCGGACCTTCGGAGAACAGTGACTTGTTGTAGTGTTGAACCAATAATTTTGGCAAGTAGACACTCACGATGAATGGACAATAAGTCTCCAGGTTGTGAAGCTAGTTTCCAGTTTATGATGGGCAACCCAAATTCTGCAGAACCTGAGAGAGCCGTTGTGAGGCACCTAGAATGTGAGACTGGACCTATCTGCAGGTAAGCAAGTCTATCAGGCACTGACCCCAGTTTTGATGGCACTGCAAATCATGTAACCATAGTACTGGTCCAGTACTCAGGTCGTCAATGACACAGTATGTGCAAGCTCTCAACAGGTGGAGGGGTAACTGTGATTTTTTCTCAGTTTATTTCTAACTCAGTGGCAGAGTCAGCATCTTTGCAAGAGGACCGAACCATCTGTTGTTTGAAAGAGTCTTGCCATCAGCTCCTGGATCAGATGTCTGAGTGGCAACTCGTTGGTGTGGAGGTCACAAACAATCAGACCAGCTTCCTCCCAATCTTCCACTCTATCCACTGCTTATTACCTTGCCACCCTGTGTTCGTGTTGGTGCTGTCCTCAATAATGGCCTGCGAGGTCTGGTCTACGTTCTCTCTCTGAGCCAGTTCACAATGTTATCTGCCACTATCTCAGTTGGTTTCCTGATGTCATCTTTCTCTGGAGTGAAATGCCTACAAATACTTCCTCGGTTCACTGCAGCAGGAGTAGTGTTCCTTTCCGCCTTCACCGCAAGCTTGAGAACATGTAAGGGACCCCTACACCCAGGTACACCATGTGAGGGACTCCTACACCCAGGTACA